GAACACATTTAACACTTGCTGAAAACATGTTACTATATGCATTTCTCATTGGTCTGTGTATCAATTTAAAAGGAAGTGTTTAAACGTCAGGTTTAGTTATTTTTATGCTGAGCAAGTGGTGGAGTGGCAACATGGAAGGAACATTTCCTGGCCCCTAGCTAGAAGGTAAGGGTGGGCAATAAAAGCACTTCTTTCTTTTCCCTTTTTTTTTTCTTTCTTTCTCTCTCTGGCTCTCTGTTTTTCCTTCTCTCTCTTCCCTGTCTTCTCTCCAGTTTCATTCTCTAATCCTTTCACTAAGTCACTCCATGATGTCTAGTACCTAGCACACAATCTTAACTTAAAAATCTGCAATGCAGCACAAAGCAACAGGTTCCTCTACAGCAGTGGTTCTCAACCTTTCTAGGGCCGGGACCCCTTGGTAACATTTGCCAAGTTGTGGTGACCCCCAAAGGTAAAATTTAGGGATGACGCGGCTGCTGCAGCGACATCTGGAAGCGTGGCAGAAGAACTGACACTGCTGCGCTAGGAGAGAGCTGAGGAGGACTCTCGCCTAGCACAGCGACCCACAGGTTGAGAAACTCTGCTATAGGCAAAGACAGGACCGGGCTCTGCAGCTGCAACTAGAAGAATTGGATTTAAATTGTGTGGCTATATAACGTATGAGGTACATACCCCGCAGTACTGTCACTGATAGGGATGGGCTCGGGCGTGTTCGCAGCTCCACGTGCCGAGCCCACCAGGAAGCTGACAGCGCCGCAGCGCCAATCACAGGCACTGAGACATTTCCCGATCTCTGCAGCTGCGGACTGGGAAAATGGAATGCATAATTTTTTTGCTTGAATACATACATATTGCACCCGACCTCTGCTGCTGTCAATCACTAGAAGGGGACCTGATGGAGAACTTCAGGTCCCCCTCTGCTGATTGGCAGCATCAGAGGGCGGGTGCAATAGCTAGTTTGCTATTGGCTTTTGCAAAGCGAAATAGCCAATAGGAATCTAGCTATGCATTCCTATGGTGGGGTTTTTTTTCTGACTTACGGCGACCCCCGATTTAAAAAAAAAAAAACAGAGCAGAGAAAGGTCCCGACCTTTCCGGGAGAAAGTGTTTCTCTCCCGGCGGCTGAGAGCCACTAGGCGACCCCTGGCAAATCGTCATTCGACCCCCGAGGGGGTCCCGACCCACAGGTTGAGAACCACTGCTCTACAGCAACAAATAGTCTCCTTCCTTTGCTTCCTACTGCTATGTTCTGCTCCTGGGAGTGAAGAGAAAGCCTAGTACGTCCGGGTATGTGGGAGCATGTAACTCACTCCTCTTCCTCTTTTGTGACAGCAGTGACACTCACAATTTTCAAGTTAGAGCAATAAAGGAGCTTTGCAGAGTTTGCACCTCTTTTATATGCTATTTTAGCCTTGCTAAAGCTGCTTTTGCATTACAAACTGGTAGTTGTGCTTGATAGTCACTTTCCATATCAGAACAAATGCATATAATGACACATAGCAGATTTACAAAAATAATTTTCTCTACACTGAATCACTGTTCACCCTTCTTTCAGTTATTACTGTGGTTCGACCTCTGGATTATGAACAAATCTCAAATGGCATCATTACTTTGACGGTTATGGCAAAAGACTCTGGGGTACCATCACTGAACAGCTCTGTACCTGTCACAATTGAAGTCTTTGTAAGTATCTACTAATTATGCTTCAGTCTGTTGTCTAAAAGAAGATGAATTAGGACCCAGTAATATTATTAGGACCCAGTAATTTTATTAAACTGATGAAGCTATAACATGTTAGTAGCATATGCTTATATACCTTGCCATAACCAAGGTTTTTTTTGTCTGAGAATAAGTGCACAGCTTACAGCTTTCACAGCTTACCTCTGCAGCCCCTGCACCTCTCACTCTCCTCAGCAGGCTTTGTGTCCATGCTGTTGCCCCCTGCCTGTACCTTGCAGTGAGAGCTGCTCAGTGAATCTGACATGACTTCTGGCGAACAGCAGCAACAAAATAAACATGGTGGGCATCAGCATCCTGAGCACCCGAGACACCAGACAAAAGATACAGGTCACACACAGCGGGTGGCCGGCACTAGCGATGCTCATGGTTTGCAACTATAAGACTAGTGCTAGGATGTTTTTGTGTAGGCCACAACAAGAAATACAACAGAATTATAAAACATCCTTAATGGCCTGCTCATATAAGTGTGTTCCAGTAATGCAAACATGTTTAATGTGCTGTATTTGCATATTAACATGTGTTGGGTTGGGCACGCCATTTATTTTAAATGGGCTGCCAGTGCTCCAACACATACATTAAACTGGTCATAAAGCATACCACGATGTGCAATTGCTTCACATCTGTAAATTATGATGCGCTACAACTACAAGTGCATTGTGGTGCTCTGCCTTGTGATGCCTTGCAGTAGCCTGTCATAGGGCAAGTTCCTGGTGTAATTTACAAATTATTCTAAGCTTTTCAGAACTATGTTGGTGCATGACCATATCAGTAATTTGATAGTGGACAATTACAATTTTCCCTTTGTATGCAGTTGCTCCTCTCTATAGTTCTTTCTCAAAATAATGAATGGTGCTTTGACAGTTATGTTGTGAACAAGCTGTTCGTACTAGCATACCAACCTGTCTGCTTGGTGGGTGGTATAGACTTACTAAGAGGCTGGTTTGTAAGCATTGTATATCTACAATTGAATTCCCTGTTTTTTGCACTTTAGTATGCTGCTCTTAGCAATCAAAGTTACCTGGGTGTGGTCTGGACCATACTTGGGTAGGCTATAAAAACCCTCAGCAATGTAGGTCCATGTCAATCACGCTGAATGATGCCTACCGACTCAACAAAATCAAAAAAGTCCTGCCACCAACCAACCTGTCTTCATTCAGCCCGGACCTGTCATTTTGCGTCAGGTGTGTGGCGGTAGCAAACAAATGGACAGAGCGAGTCGTGATGTCATGACTCTCTCCACCCATTTTTTTTAATTCCATGACAGCTCTGTGTCGTTAAATGGCATGCAAAGAAATAGGTCGGAGTGTGTCCCATGGTGGGGGGCAGCAGATGAGCTCCCCTGCTCGCAGACCCCCACAACCACCGGGCCATGGATGTAAGAATAGGGATGGACCGAACACCCCCGTGTTCGGTTCTTATTCGAACATTCGAACGGCCAAAATGTTCGAATACGAACTCGAACTCAATGCAAGTGTATGGGGGTCGAATGTTCGACCCCCATACAGCTGCCGGTACATGTAGGAAAACTGTGGCTGCAGCGGCCTGTGTCCCTTCAAATCCACAGACCGCTGCATGCCTTCACTGCCCCCCTTCATTTCGCTGCTGTCCCAGCCTCTGGTCCCCTGGTCCGTTCACTGCTGTCCCAGCCTCCGGTCCCCTGGTCTGTCCGCTGCTGTCCCGGCCTGATGGGCCGAGTGTTCCGATTCGAACATGAGTTTGAATCGAACATCGGCAGTTCGAGCGCTCATCGAACGCCAAACATTATGGGATGTTCGCGGTTTGTTCGACTGCGGACATTCCATAATTCAAAATGCCCACTGAAGCTCTGATTTGTTAAAGTCTTGCACCTGACTACAGGTCAGGTGCAAGACTTTGCCCAATCAGGGCTCAGCGGAGGAGGGGCCTGAAGGAGAAAGTTCTCCATCAGTTCCCCCCATGCTGATTGACAGCAGGCAGTGGGCGGGTGCAACAGCCAGCTTGCTATTGGCTATTGCATTTTGCAATATCCAATAGCAGGCTGGGTATGGCTCCCAGCCTGCAATGAAAAGGAGGCAGGGGGGTGGGGCAGAGGTCCGGATCGTAGACGAAGCAGGGGTGAATTATGGAATGTCCGCGGTCAAACAAACCACGAACATCCCATAAAGTTTGGCGTTCGATGAGTGCTCAAACAGCCGATGTTCGATTCAAACTCATGTACAAATCGGAACACTCGGCCCATCACCAGTAGGGAAGAGAGAGGCCCTTGTCCTCATCGGAACCTCTTGGAAAAGCACCCTCCCACTGTCAAAGGCATTTGTGGTCTGGTGCAGGGAGTGGGGGCGCTCGCTTTTCCTCCCCCCTTTTCTGCGCTGCCAGGCCACTACTCGGATTATGGTCTAGTGTGGAATTCTAAGGAAGACCCAATGTTTTTTGTTCATTTTTTGGGTGTTGGGGTCCCCTTTAAAATTCCTACCAGACCTAGTATGAATTTCAAGAGGAAATCCACCCTTTTTTTGCCATCAGGAGTCCCACCTAAAATTCCTACCAGACCTGAAGGGTCTGATATGAATCTGATATGCAGTTTTTATTTTTGGTTTACAATGACATTTTTAATTCTGTTCGCTACCTCAGAGATCGCGCACAGAATGACTAAGCTGAATGCTGAGCTGAGCATAGCTGACTTTGGTTCCACCAAACATGCTGAGGCTGTTAAGCCAAGCGGAAAGGAGGTGAAGCTGACCGAATGCAGCCGATATACGGCTAAGAATAGCATTAGACGGCTGCAGTAAAAAGCTGAAGAAGCTTCGGCTCCCTTTACATCGGGTCGGTTATTCATTTGGCTGCCTCGTGAATAGCCTCTTAAATCTCAAAAATGGCCAAGGAAGTTCAGGAACCTCAATCCAATAAGCACATTAGGGAATTTGGCTGGTAAATGGGGTAACATTTGCAGGGAATGATTGAGCAGGTCCCTGGGGGTAATTAAGTGCCAAATAAAAACTGATCAATTGCTTCTTTGATCAATTTAAATGTATGTATGTTTGTTTGCATGTTTCTTCTATGTTCTTTGTAGCATGCTTCTACCGCTAACAACTACAGTTTCAGTACATAATAGGTATGGTGATTATTAAATCTTGGTGAACAGTTAAGTTACCCTAAGCTAGTGAAATTCCTTAGTGGCTGCATTGTTTCCAGCATGGCTCCTGTGGAACAAATGGATTCGTTTGATGTTTGTAGACCATGAACATGGCACTCATATTCTGAAAAGGATCATTTTATTTCTAAAAGATAAGTTAACTGAAGAGATATCCATTTTACAGAAGAAAGTAACTGCCAAATACAGGTATTTCAGCATATACATACATTACAGCCTGTGCTGTCAGAAATAGTATCAGGGGAATTTATCAAAACTGAAGCAGACAAAATCTGGAACAGATGTGCATTGCAGCCAATTAGCTTCTCCCTTCAGGTAAGATTTGAAAATGAAAGAGAGAAGCTGATTGGTTGACATGCACAGCTGCTCTAGATTTTGTCTGCACCAGTTTTCATACATTCCCCAGATAGTATTTCTGACAGCACAGGCTGTAATGTAGCTCAGCAGTACTTAGGGACTGACCTGTCTGTGGGATATAAGATGAAACCCTACATAGGATGCTGCTTCCAGCTAATAATTTATCTTTTCCATAATAGGGGGAGTATAGATCTATGTTTTCCCCAAGGATGTTTAAATGCACTTACTGTTGATTGGCTCACTACTTATGCTGGAAGTCTATTCCAAGCATCAGCAACTCTTTCAATAAAAATTCTTATTAAGGTTAGTTTTGAACTTTTATATCCCCATGTTTTGGTCTTAGCTTCATATTGAAAATACTGAAAATACTGCCCTATTAAACCTTATTAATGTATTTAAAGTTTTTTTTTTGCATATACACAATATATATTATAAAGGTTTATTATATGCCCCCATTTCCCTTCTTTTCTCAAGACTCTACATATAAAGTTCCTGAAGTCTCTTCTGATATGTTTTATTCCTCAGACATTTACTATTTGTGTTGCCCGCGTCTGGACTCATTCTATCAAGAAAATTAGTCCAGAGACTCAACAAAATTGGTGAAACAGGGACACATGCAGCAATAAAATGTTTTAGTAAAGAAGGGAAGAGTTGCTTAAGATAAAAGGGGTTAGAGCCTCTATCAGTTTTTTAAATAGCTGCCTTTGTCTCCATTGCAGTCATTTCCATTAAGGAAGTGATGGGCAATATCTCTAAATGGAAATACAGAAAAAAAATGTTTAGAAGAGTTGGCACAGGCTTGAACTTCTAACAGTGTTTTTTACACCATCTGTGCTATGCAGTTGACAACTACACTCCTCACAGCCTGTATCAGGGGCTGACTGGCAACTTTTAGCCCAGGGGGCAAGTACAACCCAGAGGCCCATGGTGCAGCAACTTGGCCCCCCTCCCGCTCTGCCTCTTCCCCACCATCTCCCCACCCTTGTCTGCCACTTTTGCCATCCATGTAACAGTAGTGAATGGTCGGGTGATGTGAGGACTCCTAGTAAGTTCATGAAAGGGACGACTGGCTGGGGGATGGTGCTCTCCTCCCACTGTGCTCCCTACATGGCTCTGGCCTTACTCCGCTCCATGTCTGGTACTTAGGCACTCTCACCCACTGTAGACCGCCACTGGCTGTCCATGCTTCTGGGCTGTGAGCTGTTGGAGGTGAGTGGAAGGTTAGTGGGAGGGGCCGGACAGTGTCAGTGTTCTATAATTTTTCTCGATCCTATACATTTTCTCGCCTGTGTCACTTCCAGTGGGGCCGAGTCATCCGAACCAGCTGTTTTCATGACCCCCTTTCTTCATGGAATGTGCACCTGGAAGAGACACGGTAGAGTATGGGTTGAGGAAAATTATAGCACACTGGTAGTGGAGGGATGCCTCGCCAGTGCTGTGCGCGTGTACGACTGCT